CATAAAGAAAATGTGATTATTTGGCCATAAAATGAAGGAAATCCTGCCATTTGTGACAATGTGTATATGCCCAGAGGACATTATGCTAAGTAAAATAAGCCAGACAAGAAAGACAAATACTTATGATCTCACTTATACGTGAGTCTTAAAATGTTGAACTCACAGAAGCATAGAATTGAATTGTAGTTGCTAAGGACTGGGGAAATTAGGGAGATGCTGGCAAAGTGTACAAACTTTCAGTTATAAGTTGAATAGGTTCTCAGGATATGATGTACAACATGTTAACTGTAGTTAATAATACTGTGTAGTATATGTGAAATTTTTTTAAGAGAGTAGATCTTGGAGAGGATTTTCATTGCAAAAAAAAGGTAAACAGGTGGAAATTAGGGAGATGCTGGCAAAGTGTACAAACTTTCAGTTATAAGTTGAATAGGTTCTCAGGATATGATGTACAACATGTTAACTGTAGTTAATAATACTGTGTAGTATATGTGAAATTTTTTTAAGAGAGTAGATCTTGGAGAGGATTTTCATTGCAAAAAAAAGGTAAACAGGTTTTAGATGTGTTAACTTGATTTTGGAAATCATTTCATACTGTACATGTATAGTAAAACATCACATTGTGTATCTTAAGAACCATGTTATCCTATATAATAGAAGGCTAATAGGCAAATGGACCAGTCGCTATGATGTGCACTGACCACCAGGGGGCAGATGCTCAATGCAGGAGCTGCTCCCTGGTGGTCAGTGCGCTCCCACAGGGGGAGTGCCGCTCAGCCAGAAGCTGGGCTCACAGCTGGTGAGCACAGCAGCAGTGGCGGGAGCCTCTCCCAGACTGCGAGAGGGCGCAGGGCAGGCTGAGGGGCCCCTCACCCCCAGTGCACGAATTTCATGCACCAGGCCTCTAGTACAAAATAAACAGTTTTTATTGGTCAAAACTAATTGAGTTATCCTTGACACCATCCCTGACCCCAGTTTTAGATGCAGTAAGGTGCTCAGGTTTGTACTAAAATCTTGGACACGGTTACCTAAAATCTAGGCCACAACATGCATTGTCAGTATTAGCAGCAAGCCAGAGAAATCCCTGTCCTAATTTGTCCTGGGGCTCCTTGAAACTAATGAGCGACTTATAAGGGCAGCTGAGTATAAGTTGGGTCATGTGGAGTCACATCTTAAGCTGGGGAATGTCTGGTTCTTGTAAAGGTGATAGCTCTTGTTATTGTCAGTGTTGCTTGCGTTGACCTTGCGGAATGATTATATTGCTGACTGGAGGTCAGCTTTGAAGTGCAGACATAGAAAGCAGTTTGGGATGCTTTATTCTTCTAGTGGGCACTTCAAAAACATGTTCTTGTAAGGCCAAACATTGGCCCAGAAACACAAAAATAGTCAGACCTGGAGTCTATGACCTCATTCTTTTTTTTCCTGTCCCTTTGTTTGTGACAACTATACATTGGAACCTCAGTTCTGAAACTTAATGCATTCCAGAAGGCTCTTCTGGAAGAGATTTGTTCTAAAACAAAATCATTTTTTCCCATTAGAAATAATGTAAATTGAATTAATCCATTCCAACCCCCCAAATGATTTCCTGTTTTACAGTTGAATATACTATTTAATTTACAAACAGACACTTAAATGTATCTAACTACCCCCTACTGGCCCTAAACAAATCACATTCAACACTCGGTCCAGGGATGTCTTTCGGGAAGTCAGGATGTGGCATCTTCACTTTTTCACATATCACTGCCTCTGAAATGCTGTCTGCTTTTCCTTTATACAAATCAACAACAGTTTTTCTACCTCTTCAGTTGCCCGTGGTCAGTGTTTCTTTCACGTCCTTAGCAACATTAGCACTCTTTTTTTTTTTTTTTTTCTGAGTTCTATTAGCTTGTATTTTTTTTTCTTTTTTTGCATTCTCTCCTTTGTTTGTTGCCTGAGAGATGCTATTGTCATGCTGAGGTATCAGCCTGAAAGGATTATCAGGTCTAAACCAAAGTTTGGTTAGAAAACTGAGTGTGAACTTGGTCAAGAACAAAATTGTTTGAGATGGGAGACATTTGAAAACTGAGGTTTGACTGTGTTCTTATGCAAATATAAAGCAAGTGCCCAACCACCCACATTGACATAAATGTAGGTATTTCAGACGATGAAAACCCAGGTATTTCCAGCAAGTTTCTTTATGTACAGAAAGGGTGTGCTAGATGCTGCTGATATTTTGAGTTGAGAGTGTTGTTGTTTTT